TTTTTACTTTGTTTACCATTAGCATACACACACTTTATGAGTTCAATGACCTGATGGCCCAGGGAAAGAAACTTTTGAGTGTTTGTCCTGCTTTAATGCACCTGTACCTCCTGCCAGAGGGCAGGAGGTACAGGTGCATTAAAGCAGGTGCCTTAAAGCAGCACCTGTCATGGGTGCCTCACACCCATGACAGGTGCTGTCATGGGTGTGAGGGGTCGGCAATGATTGCCCTCGCTCTCCTGAAACAACGCATGCTGGCAATGTCTTCTAGCGAGGGCTTCTTTTTTTTTTACCAGTGTGGATGTGGTCCAGCAGTGGTCATCGGCTATATGTCCTTAGGAGTTTGAAGGACGACACCGGATGAATACAGTTCCGTTGATACTTGGGGTTGGATCCCTCTTGTGTTTTCTGAAGTCAATCACCATCTTCTTTTCATTCATTCAACGTTTATTTAGACAGGTAAATCCCATTGAGCCTCGAGGATTCATTTACAAGAGAGACCTGAAGATCTCCTTAGTTTTGCTGGTGTTGAGCAGCAGGTTGAATTTAGAGCACCAACCTGACATCTTGTTGATCTCGTCCCTGTATGCAGTCTCCCCTCCACTGATGAGGCCGATGACCGTGATGTCATCAGCAAATTTAATAATGGTATGTATACAGGGAGAACAGGAGTGGGCTCAGCACACAGCCCTGAGGGGAGCCTGTACTGAGGAGCAGGCAGAGCCAACCTTGAAATGCTTTAAATGTTGTAAAAGTGGTTCAGATGAAATAATAAATTAAAAATAATGGATTATATATGAAACATCATCAAGCATCCATTCAATCCAGGCATGAGGAAAACTGGATTGTTTCTTTGGAAGTATCTTATGACGGAACAAGCAGCTGCCTGACATGTCACAGGGCACAGCGAGTTCCCAATGCATGTACAATGTAGCACTATCCTCTTTCTTGTAACATTCAAAAGAAACACAAAGATAACTACCTATTATGTAATACACAAACAAAAACTACAGGTGCGTCAGACTTGACTTCAGCCTAAAGGGAACATGACAAATATCTAATTATTTTATGATTAGGCTCGCTTCCATCAGCTGATCCATTGAGGAAAAAAGTACAACTCCAGCATCTTATCTGAGATAGTTTTTGGATAATCTGTCCTAAAAAAAAAAAATCAACATACACAGAATTTTAACACATTTTACAGAATAAAAAATAAACTTTCTTTTAATTCAAAATAATTTATTCAAATCATCTGCAGTGACAATAGAAAAAGCATCAGTGGAGTCAAACCCTGGGGAAATTCACACCTACAGGGGTATCAGTCAGCAATTTGGAATAAAATTAAAGCTCATCACAACATAAGATCTCTTTTTAATTTGATATTAATAAAATAATAAACTTATAACGAAAAATACATTATTAAACAAGCATCTAAAGGGCCTAAATTTTACTATATATGCTTCATAAAGATTTTTTTTACTGCTTAATTAAAAAAATAACAACAGGGATTGCTCTGAATTTTTTCCCCAAGAACAAAACACAAAAACGACTTACTTGGATATCTGAAGTAGAAGTCATTCTCGATGTCACTTATATTTTTGGCTTTTCTGTGCTCTACCCAGTGTGCATCTGCTTCCTCGTTGTACCGAATAAAAACTCCAAACAGGATGATCATGGCTGTTTGCCACACCACACAAACTGCAGGGAGGCTGAGGCGGATGTTAGTGTTTTTTGTGCGGTCGCACATCTCCCTGAAGCTCTGACAGGCTCCCATCGTTTCAGCTTGATGGGAATCTTTGATCGCTTCTCGAGGGTGTCTGGGTCTCTGAAGAGCTCCGGTTTGTTCTGCTGAGCTGCCTTCTTCTGCTGAAGGAGACAAGACAGTGCAGAAAAGCCTCAGAACATCCTCAAGTTTAGGTTTAAGGGATTTTGGAGTGAAGACACTCCCACAGCAGCTCCTCCCTCCCTGCACAAGGAATGTCTTTTCAGGGACGTTGGTCTGGATGATATTGTCAATTTCAATGATGTGTTTTCATTATCAACATTAAAGTAGCATAAACAAATTCTAAGGGTATGTTGTCAGAGGAAACATGACTCATATCTAGATGAAAAACAGGTTGACATGATTTAAAAAAGGTTTCTTTTACGGTTGTCTTTCTCAGACTCATCTGTTGAATTTGATCAAAAGTAATAATTACAGTCCACTCCTCCCTTAATACAAGCACTGTTTGCATGTCAGTAAAAGTCAACAGGCATTTCTGTAAAACGTCAGAATATATTGATGGGTTTCTGCTCCTCCTGGATTCTTTTTCTTTCTTTACATCACAGGGTGGAGAGCTCCTCGTGCCCATTATAAACCTCTGCTCCTGTAAAGCATGAATTGGAATGTGTGTTCAGGTGTGCCAACCTCATTAAAGAGGAGCTCGACACAAATGATCCGTGGAATCACGATTCACAGCCGAAGCCTAAATAAGATTTTTATTTATTTTTTTATATATTTTTGCCACTGCTGTAAAATCACTTCAAATTATAAACCAACCCGTTCGAAACTTTGCTCTTCACTGAAGTGCTTAAAAACTATTTCAAATGTGAAATTTGTGTAGAGCAAATATAGTCAGATGAAAGCTGGAATCATTTTTTTATTAATAGCACTGCTGTGTGTCATGTAACGAATCCTGAACTAGGCTAAAATCATTCAGATAGATTCATTTGATTCATGCAGCTGAGTTTATGATCAAGGAAAAACTATTTGACAGCACGTCGAGACTGGACTATTGCAATGGTTTATCATCTGGATATCCAAATACTTCTTTAAAAGTCTTCAGTGAATCCAAACTGCTGAGTCTTAACTGGCTTTAGTAGGAGAGATCATATTTCTCCAGTTTTAGCTTCTCTCCAGTGGCTCCCTGTCAAATCCAGAATAAAATTTAAAATCTTACTTCTAACCTACAAAGCCCTCAACAACCTAGCTCCATTATATATTAGAGATCTTACTGTCCCATATTTTCCTAACAGAGCACTTCGCTCTCCAACTGCAGGCTTATTCGCAGTTCCTAAAGTTTTCAAAAGCAGAATGAGAGGAAGATCTTTCAGTTATCAGGCTCCTCTCTTGTGGAACCAACTTCCAGTTTGTGTCTGTAAGGCTGACACGTTGTCCAGTTTTAAGACTGGGCTTAAGACTTTCCTTCTTGATAAATCCTATAGTTAGGGTTGGCTTGTTATGCTGCTATAGGCTTAGACTACTGGAGGACAAATTGACCTAATTTCTTAAAATACATTTTTACAATTGAATAGTTTTCATTTGATATTGTTTCTATATTAACATGTGATTCTCAACCTGCCATTGTGTATCTGTTCCTCCTTCCTGGTCCTAACAAACACAGCAGATGAAGCAGATGGCCGCTTGTCCTGAGCCTGGTTCTGCTAAAAGTTTCTTCCTCATGAAAGAGTTTTTCCTTTCTACTGTCACCTTCGTGCTTGCTCAAGATGAGAGTTCTGCGATGGAGTTAAATTCAAAGCAGTCTGCTCCTTAGATAAATAATGTTAAATTATTATTTGTATATATGAATGTTTCTGTTCTGTGCCCTGAGATGACTTCTGTTGTGACTTGGGGCTATATAAATAAATTGAATTGAATAGAATCAAAGGTTTGAACACACCTGTCTTTGCATTTTGAATTATCATATGGTGTCTTAAATTTTAATTTACAAAAGGAAAACGAATCATAAAACTAAAACAGTTATTTTTAGGGGGGGGAACAATAGAAAGAACAAGCCTGACAGTCCAAAATGAACAAAATCTGACTTAAAGACACCACAATGTATTAAGATCCAAAAATAAAATAAAGTTGAACTAAATTTAAAAAGACGTCAGTGCAGTTACCAACCACAGATTCTAATTATAACATAATGAGCTTAAAAATAGAAAATTAAAAGCCTTTGTTACTTTATCTCCAAAAGGATAAAGGTAATCTGAATAAGAGAAGAATGCTGTACAAACTTCCCCACACCCATTTAGCCCTACATAAGTCTTTACATCGACTTTTTGATCTTCTGTCCATTTTTGTTTAACAGCAAGTTTTGAAGCTAAATTTAATTTCAAATTATAAATGTAATCAGCTAAACCAAGGACACTGTTCGACGTTGGGCAGCAGCCTCAGCGTTTACATTCAAACGTGTTTCACTCCCAATTAAAAAAAACAACAACTAAGCACTAATCAGTTTTCGCTTAATGATTTTAAAGGTCTCACCCAATGCAGCTGGTATTTTTAGGAATATTAACCATTTAAAAAAAATTAATCGGACCAGGTTGGGAGAGTCTGCATGTATCTGACCTACCCACGGTGCTCTAAAGTTCATTGGTATACCAGAAATAGTTCTAGGACATCCTATACTGCTTGTGTTTTTCCTTTTTTTTTTTTTTTTTTGTTGGAACATGGCGCTCACAGAGTCTGCAATGAAACATTTCAGCACATGCTGATCCCGCTGGTTCAGGCGTCCCCGTTTTCTCACGGTGCTGCATTTGTACCTCCAAGTTTACATTGCAAAGGGCCTTAATGTATGGACTGAAGTAGTGAGTCATTTCAGCAAGTCATGCTTTAAATATCATGCCAGGAAAATCAGCTACACGAGACCTGGATAAACACATCAGCTCGCAGACGGTCTGGCGTTTGTTTTGCTTGGGTTTTCATGTCACTGTGACAGCAAAAAAAACTGCCAGAAATGGACGGGATTTAGAGGAAAGGCTACGTTTATTAACGTCTTTTCTAAAAGGCAACTAATGGAAGAGCACAAGTGACAATGTTGTCCCGTTCTTTAAAGCGTATCAGGAGAAATATGAATGTAGGAAAGCTGAATGTATAGTTAATGCTCTCCCTGATGAAGACACTAATTAAAATGGATGAACAGATATTTGCTCAATGATCGTACTCAGCCTGCTGCTACCCTGGCGATGGTAGTCTGGCAGATGATGTGCTCTTCTGGGACGATTAATCCACGGTCACCAGACTTAATATAAGGACCAGATGAAAAATCTGCCTATGTATATTTTGGTACAAACAAGCATTGTAAGTGAGCTTTTCTTTGCTAAACTTTGAATTATTCTCAGTTTTTTCATCAGTAATCAAAAGCTGACGTGATTTTTAGCATTGCAAATTAAAAGAAAAACTTTTGGTCAAGCTCACATCTCTGTTGAGATTCTCAGTTTACACACATCCTTTCACATGTTTCTCATTGTCACAAAGGAAGAGACTAAACAGTGTCATAAGATTTCATTTAATGGAAAACCTCGCACCTCCATAAACATTTTTAAACGGTACACTGATCTCAGTGTTGACTGTAAATATAAACCAAAAATCAACTAACTCGCTCCTCACAAGTGATCCCTTGGAGAATTGCACCGACGGGTTCCATATGTTAATTGTCAATAAACACCATGGGTCTTCTTGAAAGTAGATATTTTGACTAAGCAGAAGTTTCTCATAAAGTTTGCAACACCAAAGGTGGCTCGGTTTAGACCCGTTTTACTTGTTTCTTGTACTACGTCTGTTTATATTGGGGAAAAAAACGTATATATTTTTGATTAGGAATTTTAACCAATAAAAAAAATATAGTGTACTCAGTTAGAATGTCTGTATTTCATCTATGAAAAGCAGAAAGTCAGACATTTGACCTTAAAAAAAACTAATGGCTACAACTCTCAACTCGGCTAACATTTGGTGTAGTAGATGAGAGGGCTCCCCAACACATATTCTAAGAGCTAACACATTTTCCAGGACCTTTGAATAAAGTTTTGCTATTAACTTTTTAGTGTCCGCTCTGTCTGTTGGCTAAGAACATCATAAACCACTGGATGGATTTTAAAGAAACGTAAGAAATAATCACTGGATGTACGTCTACAACTGATGTCCTTTTGGAGTTAGCCCAGTTCAAGTTGGCCTCCACAGCAACTGCCCTTAGAAAACACAAACATAACTATAATTCAACTAATTTCACAGATAAAGCTAAATCTGGTGTGTCCAGCCGAGACTCACTCACACAATCCTTGCTAATAACTTTAGCATAAACTGTCTGTTAGCAAAAGAGCTCATGAATAAATGGACAGGTTTTAATGAGACTTTAGGAAAACCCGTTAGACATGCACCTACAGCTCAATAACTTTTGGAGTCGCCTCAACAAGAGACGACAGCCACAGCTAACCCACATTAGCAACACAAAAATGGCTATAAATCAACATTTTACAGATTCTGAGCTAAGCCTGGATGTGTGGCTGAGAGTCATCCACAACATACACCCTGAGCTCGACATCTTGTAATATTGCATGAGCTGTGCACGTTTTCAAGCTTTAACCAAAACACCTATTTCTTGACCAACTGAAGGTTGGACTAAAACTCTGGTATGAACTGTGACTTTGACAAAAGTTTTACATCACATTTTTTAGTAAATTAAAACAAACAGTAATCAGGTTAATTTGAATAAATATATTTGTGACCTTTATTTCATAGTTCAGGAAGGCTGTGAAACATTCAGTACATGGAGGTGTAAACATTTCGCAACATTAAAAGCACTCGACAGGAGATTTGGTCACAAACTGCAGCTCAGTGTGAAGATCATGACGAACATAGTGGCAAGAAAAAGACTGGCTGAGCACGTTACAGTGACCTCCAAAAGTGTGTGTGAAGAGTTCATTAGGTCATGTACAGAATGTACTGCAATGCTTCTCATTTGTACAATAATACACTGGTTTAAATTTGGACACCCCAAAACATCTGAAACATACAGCTTTTTATTCAGTTTCTCTAAGCTTTCAAGCTTTTTAAACTCGCATGAAGACTTGACAATTGTTGTTACACCGGATGCCCTTCCTGACGCAACCACAGACCACTGAGTGGAGCAGAGAGCTGTCATCTAGGGCACCTAGGTAAAGGGCCTTGTTCAAGGGCCCAGAGCGGGGCAAATGTGGGTGGAGACAGTGTGGACTTTTCCACCCACATTTTGACATTATTGGTCCAGGTAGTAGAACCGGCGACTTTCCGATCACAGACGCTACCTTCTCTAACCTCTGCGTCACCACTCCCCTTATAATCACACACACACACACACAAAAAACTATTATGACTGAGAAATAAGCAAAATTGTCCAATCCAGTGGTTTGTCCCTTCAAGGATTCTGTAGTAACAAGAGAGTATTTATGCAAATAACTTGTTAGATATAAGCTCATAAAAAGTGCTTTAGTTTTACACTCGTGGTTATGACACTGTAGGGCTTTGATGTCAACACTTCAACAAAAACGTCACACACTGAAAGTTCAGAGCTTTAAACCGTCTCGGCTGTCAAACCTTGTCCCAGTAATTAGAGGTTTACAGCAAAGAGAGTCGATAAAGTTTTTTCACATAACGTTTGGCTCAGGTTTGCAATGCTTTCCAGATCTAGCAGTTGCTCTAAATGATGATTAAAAAAAGACTGAGGCTGGACAGTTGGAAAAGCAAATTTCAGCTGAACACAAAGTATCTGAGGCAGATTCATCAGACTCTCTTTGAGCAAGACATCAAAAGAAAACTTTTTTCGTCCTTGCAAAATTCAACATCATATAGCAAGTAAAAATAGCATATTCATACACGTACAGTATCCACATGCACAAGGAGTTCAACATCCAGCTCGCTCATCGTGTTTGTACAGATGGGTTTCATTCTTTGTCTTTTAAACCACAATGATATTTAGCTAAATATAATGTTTGTAATCATTGTGTATATCAAAGTACTTTGTGATTTCTTTGTAAACCAGAAAAAAAGCACATTTCAAAAAAGAAAATGCATTAAAATACAGCGTCAATTTAAACTGCATACTTTTCGTTGATAGTTTTTAACTGTTTCCATGGAAATCACAATAACTGATTTTTTTTTTTTTTTTTTACCAAGTCTTGTACACCGGAAATACTTTATGAAACTTTTTGCCACCAAAACGGGAGAGCACTGAACTAAAATTTAACTTCTAGTTCGGAAAGAAAAGAAATCCATGTACTGAATGTGTTCTTTTTAAAATTCCTTTCCGTGCATTATGATGCCAATAAATGATTTGAGAGCTGCCGCTCCAATGTGTCAAACTCATCATCGGGTAGAAGATAACTCTGTACTATCTTCACAACATCTTGTTCCGTGGCACACTCATACTCCTTTTTGCTTTTAAATGGTAAATGTCCTCCCAGCTCACAAAGAGCAACACACATGTCAGTTTCCTCTTTAGTACCAAAGCAGGCTTTTCTGGGCCAGATGGCAACCCGGACACCATTTCTTAAACTGCAATCCTTTGTGCCCTTTATGTGATCACATGGCGGACATCCTCTTGTAAAGAACAGATTGTGAGTAATGTTTTCACCCACAAGAAAGTCTGTGACTTGACAGATGCTTCTTGCTACATTCTCCACCTCCTCGGATTCTGCGTAAAACATAAATCCTGGCGGGAAATCCTGTATGCGATAAAATCTTTTTTCAGGTACCAAAGGCTTCACTGGGCTAGATTCTATCTTAAGCTTGTGGTCTAAGTAATACCCATGAAGGTGTAAATGATTGACAGATGCAAAGGCTCCAAGACTGTTGAACCCCGCACAAAAACTGGGGTCGGAGCTCAAGAGCACGGACTCAATACCGACCTGGACTGCGGTTCTTGTCAGGATCTGTGGGAAACAGCATGAAGGATCCGGTACAAAGAGACAATGTCCAAACTCCAACGGGCTCACATTGATCAGCACAACTGTCCTGCAGGTTTGAGGCACCTGTCCGTCAGACATCTCTAAGCCTGCATCTGTGGTTTTTATCATCTCAAATATAATTTCATCAGGATTGATTTTGTTAAAGTTAAACTGACTTGGAATGAACTCCTGCTTAATGTTTAGTATCTCCTGAGGTTTTCTTCTTTCTTTTCCTCGCTGAATATTTAGCTGAGCCACATAGCCACAAGAGCCTGGCAGGATGCGAGTTTCTACGTCACCCAGATGATAGCGGAAAAGCCCTCTGTCCATCCTGTCTGTCCAGCCATCTTGGATGACTGTGTCAAACCTCGTAGGCGGTGGCACCCTTTCCGGACAATTTTCACTCCTTCGTCTCACATCTGTGACAAAGTCCTGGCGGCTGTACGTAAACTGCAGCGTCATGGTTGGATCTGTTCAGGACCAGTACAAACATGGAAATGTGAGATCTGCTAAATCTTCAACAACATCGTCTTCAAATGATTCACTCAGTTGTACTCATAGATTGTGAAATACTGTACTCATCATTGAAAGAACAGTTGTAAAAATGGTTTTCATAAATGTTCAAACATCATTTGTCAAATGTTTATACTGCAAGTCAGCCACAGTAATTTTGATTAACAATAGAATTAAACTAGAAAACATTAAAACTTAATAAAAGCATAATTAATTGCAATTAAAACTTTTTTTAATAACTAAGAAACTACATTTTAAAATTTTGAATAACTGACTATTGGAGACGAGGTCAAATATATATATATATATATATATATATATATATGTATATAATTATATATATATATATATATATATATATATATATATATATAAACCGCTAACTCTGAAATCAGGATTGTAGTGTGTAACAAAAGTTAAGAACTACTAATTACATTGTTTTAATGAAAAATGTGTTAAAAAAACGTTGCATGTCTTCAGAAACCTCACCTTTTAATTAACCGTCGAGTTAAGGTCAACGTCTTCAAACTGAGAACATATTTATTGCATTAAAAACAGAGAACTCTCACTCCCGTTGATTCTGAATCCTTGAAGTCTTGTTGCTAACACCGGCTAGCTGCTTACGCTAACTTCCGCGTTGACGTCATGTTTACGGTGTGTTTCCGGTTTACTCTACCAAAACAAAAGCATAAACAATTGCTTAAAAGTAAAACGTGTTTCCAAAGCTATTTTGAAACGGTTTAGCGCTTGTTTCTACTTTTTTAGTGGGTTAAATGAACTTACAAACTTTTGCTCATTAGATTTAAGTTTCATTAAAAAAAAAGAAGAAATATTTTGTTTTCTATATTTTGAAACTGATGATTTAGTTTATATCAGGACAACTCTTGAAACTCACCCACCATTCAATAAGTGCAAAAGTTTATGTATTTATTTATTTATGATGTCATTTGGTAACTCAGTGCAATATTTACTTGCTGAGTAACGTTCACATTTTTCATAGCTGACTTGTATTCTAAACTGAGTTTGAAAGAATGACCAGCTGTCCAAAGTGACTCAGATTATTTTTAGTCTCTGCATAGTTTTGGAGCTAAAGCAGGCAGTGACTGGCAGAACTGCGAGTGTCTGCTGAGAGGTTTGGGGCTTTCTTCACACTCACAGTTCTGTCTGAGCAAGCTGAATTTAAGTTAACTTTTGCCTCCTACATTTCAGCCCAAATTGAAAAAGTTAAAAAATGGAAACGACTGAAAATGAAGTAAGTACAGCTGCTTTTTTGTTTGTTTTTATTTTTAAACAAAATTTATTAACAAGTTATGGCTGTGGGTAACATTATAAGAATTACTTTTCATTTAGATACTGTTGATAGCAATTCTGTCTGGAGTTTTTATTAAATCAGATGTTTTAAACCTAGATAATGTTAGGCAAAGCAAATGATTTTTCTTCCACTGCAACTCAGTTATTTTTAATTCTATCAAGTGTTTTTGTTACTAACACACACTGACCAGAAGATATCAGTAATTCAAGAGGTTACTTACAACAAAATTTATGCAGGTTAAGCTACATATTACAACAGAGTACAGTAATCAGTTTTCAGAAATTGGGGGGAAATCATGCTTTATGTCAGTGTTTAATTTGTCTTTTTTTAATCAAAACTTTTCTAACAGTTTGTTCTTTCACTGCTTGTAGATGAAAAATAAAGCTGAAGAAAAACCTCAGACTCCCAGATTAAATGGTATTGAGGATTCCAATGCAATGGTTTCACTGTCCTCCCAGGTTTTTGCCCAAGGTATTGTGTTATGTGCTTTTATCCTTTTATTATGGAGTCTAGATTGCATTATTCTAATTTTTCATTACAACATTTAAAACAACAAAAATCATCAAATTTAAGTGGACGAGTGCAACGATTTCATTAAACTAAAACAACAGTTTAAATAAACTGTTGTATTCTAAAGACCTTTGGACTTTACCATTTAGGTATGACATCTATTATGATCAGATAGGTTGAAATACACAAATCCAAACAGCATTTTAAAGCATTTTATCATGTTTAAAAAAAATAATAATTAACCTTCTTTATTACAAGTTTGACATTTGATCTATTATTGATGGGTAAAATAGTTAACTAAATTAATTTGAAAAAAGCTCATACAACAAGTTGAGACTAGAAACGCACTTCAAAAACACTTACTCCTAAAAAGGAAAAAAAAAAATCACAATTGGGGAGAGAGTTATATTAAACATTTTTCAATTAAAATATTTTGGCTAAGTTCCAAACTTATCTAATTCCACAGGTGTCAAATATTCCTCACGTGCATATTTGTGTATAAATATTATAATTTGCGCCATGACTGTAATTTCAGAAAATAACATTCCCAATTTGCAGCATAATGTAGTGTTTATTTTTTACTTGTCCATATTTTAACCAAAAAAAAAAAAAATGTTGTTCACTAAACTTATTTTTGTATAGGTTTACTCAACAAGTTAATGTTTGTGTTCAAGTAGATTTTTGTGTGTGCCAATGTTATGTAATAAATGCTACACTTTGATTATTGCTTCTCTATCCTTACTCTAGGTCAGTCAGCTTCTTCTGCAGAGAATCAAGAAAACAACCCACCGGTCCAAACTGCCTTCGTAACTGACAAAGAAAATGCTATTAGGCCAAGACTCCAGATAACTTTTAACACGTTCACTATCAAGAATGGTGCAGAACTGAAAGTAGAAATCCCTGTGACTGGACACCCTGAGCCAAAAATTGAATGGCAAAAAGATGGCCATGCAGTTAAGGAGACATCAAGGCTAGAGGTTTTGACTAAAGCATCACTGACTGTCCTACATATCAGACATGCTGCCAGGGAGCACTCTGGACAGTATTTTGTTACGGCCAGAAACAATGCTGGAAAAGACATGGGAGAAGTTGCTGTGGTTGTTCTTGAGAGGCCAGATCCACCTGCAGGGCCTGTGAGGGTCGATGAGATCAGTTCTGACTATGCTGTTATCTCTTGGGAGCCACCTGAATATACCGGGGGTTGTCAGCTAGATAATTACATAGTGGAGAAACGGGAAACTACAAGTACAGAGTGGCAGACTGTGTCAGCAACAACAGTAAGAACCACAATCAAAGTTACAAAACTGAAAACAGGAAATGAATACCAGTTCAGAGTGTTTGCTGAAAATAGGCACGGAAAAAGCACTGCAGTCACCTCTCCAGTTGTAATGGCACAGTATCCATTTAGTGTCCCTGCTGCTCCTGGCACTCCCTATGTTTCCATTGTGACTAAGTACAACATGGTGGTTGAGTGGGAGTCTCCATCCAGTGATGGAGGCAACCCCATCACTGGCTATCACATAGAACGTAAAGAGAAGAACAGCATTTTATGGACCAAGCTCAACAAATTTGTTATACCCGACAACCGTTTCAAAGCAAGTGGGTTGGAGGAAGGCATTGAGTATGAATTCAGAGTCCTTGCTGAAAATATTGCTGGACTGAGTCCATGTAGTAATACATCTGAATGCTATGTAGCAAGAGACCCCTGTGATGCGCCTGGAAAACCTGAAGCTGTTGTTGTGACCAGAGACAGCATCACCCTTCAGTGGGAAAAACCCAAGTACGATGGTGGAAGCACTATTACAGGATATTTGGTTGAAAAGAAGGAGCTGCCAGATGGCAGATGGATGAAGGCAAACTTCACTAATGTTATTGAGAATCTCTTCACAGTCACAGATCTGACAGGAGGTCAAAGTTATGAGTTCAGGGTAACTGCTAAGAACAGTGCTGGTGTTTGGAGTATGCCCTCAGAAAGCATCACCATTCTTGCTCAAGATGTTATTGAAGCACCCACTGCATCTTTTGACCCCCAGTTTAAGAGTACTACTGTTGTTCAAGCTGGGGAGGCATTTGTTATTGATGCAGACTACTTTGGAAAGCCTCTTCCTGAAGTTAGATGGTTGAAAGGTGGAAATGAAATTGACAAAGGTACACCAAGAATGGATATAAAAAACACCATCACTCATACAACTCTCACAGTCAGGGAATGCACACGTGTGGATGGAGGACGATATGTCTTGAGCCTCAGTAACATTGGTGGAATGACATCCATTCCAGTTAACGTTAAAGTCTTAGATAGACCTGGTCCGCCTGAAGCACCACTGAAGGTGAAAGCTGTGAGTGCAGAGAAGTGCAATCTTCACTGGAACCCCCCTCTAAATGACGGAGGTGCTACTGTCACCCACTACATCATTGAAAAAAGAGAGACTAGTCGAGTCACATGGACAGGGGTAGAACCGCATGTTGAAGCTGTAAGTTACAAAGTGGCAAAACTGGTACCTGGCAAAGAGTACATATTCAGAATTGCTGGCGTGAACAAATTTGGTGCTGGTGAATTCCTTGAATCTGAACCTTTTATTGCACAAAATCCTTTTACGGCACCTAGTGCACCCTCTACCCCTATAAGCAGTGCTGTGACTGGTGACTCTGTATTACTAACATGGGAAAGGCCTGAGAGTGATGGAGGCTCAGAGATTGATGGCTACATTCTGGAGAAATGTGACAAAGAGGGTGTGCGGTGGACCAAATGCAACAAGAGAAGGCTAAATGATTTGCGTTTTCGATGTACAGGACTTACTGAAGGCCATTACTATCAGTTTAGAGTTCTTGCTGAAAATGCTGCTGGTGTGGGTGCACCAAGTGAACCAAGCGAGTATATTAAAGTATGTGATGCTATTTACCCTCCTGGTCCACCTAACAACCCAAAAGTGACAGATTATTCCAGAAGCACTGTGTCTCTGTTTTGGTCAAAACCCATATATGATGGTGGAGCAACCATCAGTGGGTTTGTTGTTGAAATGAAAGAAGTAGCAGAGGATGAATGGATTACATGCACACCAAGCACAGGTATACAGGACACAAGCTACATGGTGAAAAGACTCAGAGAAAATTCAGAATACAATTTTCGCATACGTGCTATGAATTCTGCTGGTATTGGAGAGCATGTGGATCTTCCTGGGTCTGTGGTTGCAGCTGAGAAATTAGAAGCACCAGAGATAGAAATGGACAGTGCTTTGAGAAAAACGGTCAATGTCAGAGCCTGTTCCACCTTACGTCTTTATGTTACCATCAGAGGTAGACCAGAGCCTGAAATTAAGTGGTCAAAGGCAGGTGGCCCTCTGAGTGAGCGTACTCAAATTGAGATAACAAACTCCTACACTGTTCTACTGTTAGAGAATGTCAACAGAAATGACAGTGGAAAGTATGCATTGACTGCTGAGAACTGCAGTGGCACTAAATCAGCATTCATCAATGTCAGAGTTTTGGACTCTCCCAGTGCACCAATAAATTTAGAAGTAAAAGATATAAAGAGAGACTCTGTGTCCATCTCGTGGGAGCCTCCCCTTATTGATGGAGGAGCAAAGATTTCTCACTACATTGTAGAGAAACGTGAGGAGGCAAGAAAGGCTTTCACAAGTGTCTGCGGCAACTGTGTAAGGAATTTCTGTAAAATTGACAATCTACAGGAAGGATCCTTCTATTTCTTCCGTGTCCTGGCAGTAAACGATTTTGGAACTGGACTGCCAGCAGAAACTCCCGAGGCAGTTAAAGTGTCTGAGGCTCCACTGCCTCCTGGAAAAATCACTCTCAGCAACGTCACTTGTAATAGTGCAAGACTGTCTTGGGAAAAGCCTGATCATGATGGAGGGAGTAAAATCACATGTTACATTGTAGAAATGCAAGCAGAGGGGGAAGATACATGGATAAAATATTCTGAGAGTAAAGCACAAGAAGTAGCTGTAAATGGGCTGACAGAAGGAAAAGAGTATTTCTTTAGAGTGAGTGCTGTTAATGAAAAGGGAAGGAGTGAACCGAAATCTCTTTTGACACCTGTTATGGTAAAAGATACTAGTGCTGAACCCGTTATTAATCTGCTGACTAACACATTTAGTGTAAAGGCAGGAAATGATCTTAAGATTGATGTTCCATTCATGGGTGTGCCACCACCAATAGTAGTATGGAAAAAAGAGGGAAATACACTGAAAGAGACAAGTAGGGTAAATGTACACACATCTGACTCAACATCTCAGATTGTTATCAAAGATTCAACCAGGATTGATGCTGGTGTGTATGAAGTGATCTTGACTAATTCAGTTGGAATCACATCAGTTGAAATCTTTGTGAATGTTTTTGAAAGACCTGGACCACCAAGTGACCTCAGTGTGGATGATGTGAGTGCTGACTTTGTGTCTCTGTCATGGCAGCCCCCAATTTACACTGGTGGGTGTGAGATAACCAACTACATTGTTGAGAAAAGAGACACAAGCAGCTCAATATGGCAGAATGTGTCAGCAACAGTGGCAAGATCATCAATCAAAATTTCCCGACTAACACAAAGCACTGAATATCAATTTCGTGTTGCTGCAGAAAATCGTTATGGAAAAAGCCAGTTCATTGAAACAGAAACTATTGTTGCCCAGTATCCTTTCAAACCACCTGGTCCACCAACCAGCCTCCATGTTCTGCAGGCCTCAAAATCTGTAATGATCATTGCTTGGAGCAAACCAGACAATGACGGTGGCAGCCCTATTACTGGTTATCACGTTGAAAGCAAAGATCAAAGCAGTATTTTATGGACAAAACTAAACCGAAGCCCAGTGACAGAGACCCAATTCAAAGTGACAAGTGTTGAAGAAGGTCTTGTTTATGAGTTCAGGGTTTGTGCTGAAAATATGGCTGGTGTTGGACCTTGCAGTCAGACGTCTGAACCTGTAGCAGCAAGAGACCCGTGCGAGCCTCCCTACAATCTCACAGTCACCAATGTAACAAATACTTCAGTTTCACTCTCATGGGACAAACCAAAATACGATGGAGGGGCTAAAATAACTGGCTACATTGTTGAACGTAAAGAACTGCCAGATAGTTGCTGGCTTAAGTGCAACTTCACAAATTTACTGGACACATGTCTGGAAGTGACCGAGCTCGCGGAGGGTGAACAATATGATTTTCGTGTCATTGCAAAGAATGCAGCTGATCTCGTCAGTGCACCATCTGAAACCACTGGACCTATTACAGTGCAGCATGATGTGGAGCCACCCAAAATTATCTTGGATGACCAATTTCGACAGGTGGTGGTAGTGAAAGCTGGAGAGCTCCTAAGAATAGATGCTGACATCTCTGGCCGCCCTAATCCAACAGTGTTTTGGTTGAAAAATGGAAGAAATATTGGTACCAAAGGAAGAATTGAGATAACAGTGACAAAGACCCATGCGTCTCTCCTTATCAGAGAGTGTGTCAGGAAAGATTCTGGGCAATATACTCTGACCTTGCATAACACCGCTGGTACCACATCTAAAGTTGTCACCTGCAAAGTGCTGGATAGGCCAGGCCCCCCTGCTGGCCCTCTGGAAGTGTCTGGACTGTCAGCAGAAAAATGCACCTTGTCTTGGGGACCCCCTCATGAGACTGGTGGTGCAGAGATTTTGCATTACATTGTTGAAAAGTGTGAAACTAGTCGTGTTTCCTGGATTCTTTTGTATGGTGACATGATAGCAACATCTTGTAAGGTAACCAAGCTCCTCAAAGGAAATGAGTACCTGTTTAGGGTGAGGGCGGTCAACCAATATGGGGAGGGTGAGATTTTGGAGAGTGTGCCAATAAAAGCCATGGATCCCTTCACTATCTCATCCGCTCCAACAGATGTTGAGGTCACAAGTGCAACCAGGGACACCATGACTGTCTGCTGGAAGAGGCCTCTCTCTGATGGTGGTAGTTGTATTAGTGGTTACATTATAGAGAAAAGGGAAAAGCATGGCGTCCGCTGGGTCAGGGTCAATAAAAAAGCAGTCTATGACCTACGGGTTAAGGCCTCTGGCCTACATGAAGGATGTGAGTATGAATTTAGAGTGTTTGCTGAAAATACTGCTGGTCTAAGTGAGCCTAGTTTACCATGCCCTCTTACTCTGGCAGAAGATCCAAAATTTCTCCCCTCTCCTCCAGCAAAGCCCATCATAGTTGATTCATCCAGGTCAGCCATCAGTCTAACATGGAACAAGCCGTTGTTTGATGGGGGAGCATCAATTACTGGATACAGAGTTGAATTTAGAAAATCAGCAGAGGAAGACTGGGCTGTTGGTGTTCACAACACAGATAAGACTGAATTTACAGTAACTGGACTCACAGCTGGAGAAGAATATGTTTTTACAGTTAGAGCTATTAATAAGATTGGTGTCAGTGAACCCAGCCCTGAAACAGATCCTGAAGTAGCCATCGACAGAGAGGAGGAACCCAGATTTAATATTAGCCCTGAGATGAGGAAGACCCTGCTTGTTAAAGATGGCAGCTCCTTTACTTTGACTGTGCCTTTCACAGGTAAACCTACTCCTAGTGTGTCATGGGACAAAGCAGATGTAGATCTTAGGGTAAAAGGAATCATTAACACCAGCAGTTCTGCCACATCTATCACAGTGCAACAGGCAACACGTGATGATTCTGGCAAATACACAGTGAAACTCCAAAATATTTCTGGATCTGCAACTTTGACCTTGAATGTGAGGGTTTTGGATTCACCTGGTCCTCCTACCCAAATAACAGTCAAAGATGTGACTAAGAACTCTGCTACTGTTACTTGGGACATCCCTGAGAATGAGGGAGGAGCCCCTGTGAAGAACTACCTTGTAGACATGAAAGAAATTAGTAGGAAGGGGTGGACAAGACTCACGGACAAATGTCGCCGACTGTCCTACAAGGTGTCTGACCTGGATGAGGGAGGAATCTACTTCTTCAGAGTCACTGGGGAAAATGAGTATGGCACTGGGGTTCCAGCTGAGACCAAAGAAGGAACAAAAATGACAGGTACAACCTCAATAATAGTTACATTTAACCTCCCCTGTACAGTATTTGTAATTTTACTCTTGCTGTTATTGTTCTGTTTCAGATACAACAGACTGGGACACAAACCAAGGAGCTTAGACTTTATTTTCCCTGTCACTTGATCATATGACAAGATGAACCTTTTTCAAACCTTCTGTACATTCACTTTTCTTTTCTTTTCTTTTATTTTCTTTGTTTAGTTATACACATATTTAGTTCAACTGAGCACATTTTAGTGATTTAGAAAACAATCTATTTTTCCCCATTCATTCAACTTATATATTATTAAATTTATAACTTGCTGTAGAACTAAAACCTCATTTAAGTTTTTTAAATATTTTAACTGCTTCTTTTAGAAAGCATAAGGAATGATTTTTTTTCATAGAAAAATGTGTATTTTTTGCTGTCGTTTTCTTTATTGTGCAATAAAACTTTAAGACAATTTTGCGATTTTTAAGTTTTACTTAGTAGAATATACAATCAGATCATTACTAAAGCACTAAAGAAAATTACCATATTAAAGTAAAAGTATCAATATAACAATGTATATTACATATAAAGCAACATTTAGGATTCGTAACTTTGAATTTTGACAAATAAGTTTACATTTCTTGATAGGTCATTTTCAATTCAAGCATTTTTACACACCTACCATATAGCGCTATTGTGCTATTTTTTTTAATAAAGGGAAAATACTTATATATTTTGACTTTCATTATATGCTGCATCATTTCAGCATTTATAGATATAAAATCACATGACGACTTAAGAACAAAAATCATTGTTTGCCTCCAATAACTGGTGAAACATTAATTCATTCAACCTTTACAGGTTAGTTTCATTGAGACATGAGGACTCATTTACAAGAGACCTGTTTAAGACAGACAACATAAAGTACAAACAACAATAGACTACAGTAAAAATGCAATTAAAATAATTGCATTTATTGCAATTTATAATACAGTATTTATAAATGCAACTCTAATATTATTTTTATATAATATTTATAATTGCAAGTCTTGAGACCTTATTCCTGGGGGAAATGGAAAAAGATAAAGTTTAGATACAGCTACGTCACTATGGAACCCGTTTTGCAGACACGCCCAGAAAAAAACGGGAACGCGCATCGTTACCGCGCATGCACACAAACCCGGAAGTAAGCAAAAATAAAACCTGTAGCTTCGTCGCAGTTCACCGAGTATTGTCTGTTTATCAAAAACAAGGGAATATTCGAGTTGAAGAGCTTAAAATGGGAACTACATCAAGTCACCTTGGCAAGGATGCGTTGTCAGAATACCAAGTAAGTATTTATTGTCAGTATTGGCTGCTTTTTCACGGTACTAACAGCTAAATAACGTAAAATCGAGATTAACGGCAACAGCTAAATCAAATAAGTTTTAGGACAAAATATAACAGTGGTCCTAATTTAACAAGTACGGGGGTGTTTATTACCGTCTGCTTTCTCTATGCTCTTAAATTTCAAGCTTATGGTAATGTCAAAATTCAAAACCGGAAAATTGGTCTATTTTCATTAGTATTTTTTTTTTACAACTACCTTTAGGAGCTGACCTTTTTGACGAAACAAGAAATTCTTCTGTAAGTAATGAGTTTTTGTACAAGTTAAATTAATCTATGTAACCTGACTTTGCATGTTTAATTGTGGCTTTGCTGCTCTTTTCAGCGCTCATAATAGATTCACAGAACTGCTGCCTAAAGAAGATAAGGGCATTCCAGATGTAAGAGTACCCATGGAGAGGATGTTAAGTCTGCCTGAGCTGAAGGTGGGGTGGTGTGTGCTTTTCTTACTTCTTGTTCAGATAGTGTACAATGCAGTGTACTCTGGCTTGCAGGAAGTGGTTGAAGTATTAATAAAATGGACCTTGTTCTTGTTCTAGGCCAACCCTTTCAAGGAAAGAATCTGCAAGGTATTCTCGACATCTGAACACAAAGATGGAAGCCTCACCTTTGAAGATTTCCTGGATCTTTTAAGCGCCTTCAGTGATTCCGCCACTATGGAAATCAAATCCCACTATGCATTTCGTATATTTGGTAAATATGTTGATAAAACTTGAGCTAGTTCAGTTCGCAATCTTGTGTAACCATTAACTTCGTATGTTTAGACTTTAATGATGATGGAACCCTTGGTCACAACGATCTGGAGAAATTGGTTGACTGCTTGACTGGTGAGAAGGACGACACGAGACTAACTAGGGATGAAATGAAGCAGCTCATAAACAACGTGAGTTAAATGTGGATTATTCTCTTAAGGTGCTAGGATGTATAAAAAAAAAAAGAATGTGGTTGTAAAGCTTACTTTTTCTTTTATGCCATTTAGATCCTTGAAGAATCAGATATTGACAAGGATGGGACGGTGAACCTCTCTGAGTTTCAGCATGTCATTTCAAGATCTCCAGATTTTGTCAGGTAGTTAACAACTCTATAACAGATGTGAATATTTCACACACACTAGTGTTTTTCTAACCGACAGCCTCAATTTAAATTTCCACAGTTCTTTCAAGATTGTGCTGTGAAGACTCCTACACGCCGTGGAAATGCTCAGCTTTTTACTCTCCTAATTATGATACATGCCTTAAATTCTATTAATCTATACATTTTACTGTCTTTATATTTTTTATTAATTGGATGTGAAATTTCTATATATTTAACATATGTAAAATAAAAGTTTAAAAACATTTCCTTACAAAAGTAATTTATTTAACCATATCAATAAATAATTTATTACATACATCACAAGGAAGAAAAGTATTTCTTAGGACGATTTCTACCTCCTGATATGTTGTCAAGCTCATTTAGGAGATCTGTTTTTGAGTTCAGGTTCTTCCTTTTGGACAGCAGCAGTAAAAGTGTTCCACGGCCCGCACACCACGTCAACCACGAGCAGATTCTCGGCGCTGAAGAACTCCACACACTGAGGCTCGTCTAAACTGTTCAGTGTACGGTGCCCAAGTTGGCCGTATTCACCTGGAGCAAAAAAAAAAAAAAAAAGAGGAAAGAGACTTGGAATAGCTCAACCTACTCATACAATTAATTTAGTTTGACTGGTTAGCCTATAGTAAGCATTTAATTCAGATTCAGCTTTTATTTATTTTTATTTTTTTTTACAACAAACTTACCCCATCCCCAAGTGTACAGACGACCCGTGGCTGAAATGTGAAAACGTATGAATGACATTTACTAGTCCCCCTTCCAAAAAAGACAATTATTGTCATTTTTAATTTGTATGAGACTTCTTACTTGTCACTGCAGCTGTGTGCCGGGAGCCACAGCTCACTGTCCTGATTTCACACGATGGATTGACGTCCAGCAGAGCAGGGAAACCTTGAATTGAGATGAACACTTCATCAGATTTCTCTCCCTCGTGTTGCTCCTCTCCAGATGTGCTGACATCGTGGCACAGTTCTGTTCAGTGCAATTAAGAACATAAAGACTTAAAATGTTACTTTCAAATAGTTTCAAGAGATGATTTTAGTAGCAAGAAAAAAAAAAAACTTGTGCCATTAGTTTAATTAAGGAGATAAGCTAATGGTTACACACGATTAAGACCATTTTGAGTGGTAAATAATTTTTTTTCCTTTAACCAAACCTTAATTTTATGAAAACGTTAAGTTTACAGACCCATATGAAAAATATATGATCAAAATAAAAGTGATTTCTATATTTAGTTTAAATATTATGACATTGAAGACAACATAAACCTAAGTTTGTTTTAACGGGTTTATTTCTCTTTGATTAAAATATAGTATTTGTTAATGCCATTGCCTTTTGCATACTGGACACACATTTCTCAACAATGAAGAAAAATGTTTAAAATTTGAATCTTTGAGCAACATTTTCATACAAAAAAAATTGAAGCATTAAAACATTGTTTAGACTATTTTAGTCTTTAAAAACTCATTTGCTGAACACTGAAAAAAAATTTGAATAATTATTGCGCAAGGAATACTGAATTATTTCAACACTTGATCCTAATTTCTTTCTAATGTTTTGAAAAGTTCTGGAGAATTTAAATGCTTTAATAAAGTTATATTAATAATTGAATGTTGAGATAAGACATACAAATATTAGATTAATACTTTGCAATAAAATGGAATGAAAGTAATAGAAAAGACACTGTATTTAACATTTGCCTTTTCCAAAATGTCCTAAAGTTTGAGTTTTCTACCCAAACTTCACATTTATTTATGCCAAACCTGCTTGGTGGGCACTTTTCTGTTGTGAGGTTTTCCTCAAACCTCGTGATGGCAGTCCAAGCTGGCCGCTCTCGTTCCAGCCCCACACGTACAGATCACCTCCATCTGAGAAGAAAAGTTACCGCATGTCATTTCTTCCCCACTTCTCATTCGTTTAACGCAACACTTTCAATCAACACTTGCCACTAATGCAGACAGAGTGCCAGCCTCCTGCAGCCACTGAGCTCATAGGCACCCCCCACAGGGCCTCCACTGCCCTGGGCTCTTCTTCTGAAGTAAGTCCTCCATGTCCCAACTGACCGTGGCTGTCACGTGAGCACAAGTTCATACAAATCAACACGGTAAATGGTTAATAGACTGTACTTGTACAGTGCCTACAATCTGCACCCTTATTTACCCATTCATACAGCACTCGACTATACCTCTACAAAGACTTATAATTTTGGATCACATTCATACACCAATGGGACACACATTGGAGGCAATGAGGGGTTCAGTGTCTTGTCCAGGGACACTTCAGCATGTGACTGCTAGTGGAATCGAACCTCCAGCTCTCCCATTGGAGGACGACTGCTCTAACCACTCAGCCACAGCCGCCCTGTTAAGCTCAGGTGTGTATTACCGTATTTTTCGGCCTATAAGTTTTTTTTTTCTTCATTATTTACATGCCCTGCGACTAGGCCAAAGCAACATATTTATGGATTTTTTTCTCATAGTTATAAACCAATTTTCGGCTGAGATATGACCGTTTCCATTCATTCTGACAAAAAAAAAATCGAACAGTACCACTTTCAGCCACTAGATGGCAGCAGAGTAGTAGTACCAGTGAGGCATGCCGTTATATCATGTAATAGGTAAACATGGCTAAAATGACAAATTCAAAAAAGTTCAAGACAAAAACAATAGGACTTTATTTATTATACTTTATTGTTTTTTTTTTTCTTGAACTTTTTTTGAATTTACCATGTCCTGGATGACTGAGAATCTTCACCATCTTTTAATGACACAATCGGCTTTTCCACCTTCGTTCTTCTCGCTGCTTGGAGCAACCATCAAACCAGCTGCACCGCCCTGGCGAAATGCAGCTAATTTGGCCATTAAAGTGTATTTATTAAGTAAAAGTTCAAACGAGACACACCTTTGCTATAATTTCGAGTAAACAAATAATTGTTTTAGGTGCTTTTCTTGTTAAATTTTGAAAGAAACGAGCAGCGTTCCTCCTTCTTGATTTCCTCCCTCTGCGTGCTCCTGGAGCATCAAGGCAGCAGATACTTTTGAAATACAGCTGATTTGACCATTAAAGTCCTTTTATTAAGCAAACGTTAGACTGAGGCACACCTTTACTATAAAGCCGAGCAAACAAACAATTGTTTTTACGTGTTTATCTTGTTAAATTTCAAAGAAATGAACAGCAGCTCGTCCCTCTGCGTGTGCTTGATTACGCAAATCGGGTTTTGAAATGCAGCTGATTTGACTGTCAAAGTGCATTTATTCAGCAAAAGGTACACTGAGACACACCTTTACTATAATTTCAAGCAAACATAATTGGTAAAGTGTTAATCTTGTTAAAGTCCTCCCATGCACGCTCCCGCAGCCGCCATTTGGCAGCCAATCAATTTTTGGCACAACACCAGCCCACATTTCCGGGTTGTCAGCGGTGACGTAACGCGACGCGTCAGCGGTGACGCATAATAGACGCGACGTATACGGCGACGCGACATATTTATGGATTTTTCCACTTTTTGAGACAAATTTGAACTGATGCGACGTATACGGCAGAAAATACGGTATACGTCAGCGTTTGATCTACCTGCCCAGTCCCCAGCTGTGGACGGCTCCTGTGGCAGTCAGGAGGATAGCATGGTCCCCCCCAAGCGCCAGACTCTTGGCTTGCAGGTGAGGAGACAAGGAGCGGAAGATGGGAGGTTTCGATGCTATGTAACCACCAGGCACCAATGGCAAATTTACATCTGTATAAAAGAAAGAAAGGAAACATAATATAATTGTGTTTTTTATCAGCTGCACAAGATGTTAGAAATACTCAAAATACCAGAGCTCTGGGTGTTTATCTCCATGCTCCATGATGGAGTGGTGTCGTTCTTCTGCAGCTCCCAGCATTCAATTCTTTGTGGGAAGGCAAGGGTGAGATGCCATTCACTGATGATTGCATCTGCACAGCCGCACGTGCTTACTGCGACAGAGCAGGGTGCCCCATGACCTGCCACACACACACAGCTGTCTGCTGAAGAACGAGAGAGGAAAAGATTTACTAAGTTTAATTTCAAACATGTCATTTAACCTTACAAAGGAGCCGATGCCCGCGCAGCAGACTTACTATCCAAATGCAAAGATGCTCTGCGACTCCAACTCGCGCTGATTTTACTCGTCTTCAAGCAGCAGCAGCCTCTTCCGGCCACATTTAGCTCTGTGGGAAAACTTAGCTTGACTTCCCTGACAGCGTCGCCAATTTCTTTTTTAGTCACTTTCTCCTGGACACATATTTGTCCAAAGGCGTTGAAGCCAAACCCAAACCAGCGCATTTACTTACTAAAAACTCTACAGAGTAAACAACAACAACGAAAATGCCCGCAAAACTTAACTAGTAACGCTCGAATGAACTGCGCATGCGCGTTTTGTATTTAGCGAAGCAAGTTCGGTTGCACTGAAACCAGAAACGAGATGACAGGAGCGGATCTAGAGATTTTGTCCTGGGGTGGCAATGGTGGTTCCAATTAAATTCAGTTCAGTTTATTTATATAGCGCCAAGTCACAACAGAAGTCATCTCAGGGCACTGAACAGAAACATTCATATTTAAAAATATCAAGTTCACTCTGTGTGTCTGAAGAGCAGACTGCTTTGAGTTAAACTCCATTGCAGAACTTCCAGCAGGCATGGATGAAAAAATTTACTTTTAGTCTTAATTTCATGCATTCAGGTGATTCATTTGTGAAAATGAATTACACAATTTATATAAAAACAATATTTAACCAAGTGCTGTTCGTTCGATTACGATTATGTTCATGTTTGTGCTGATGTTTGACATAATATTTATTAGTGCTTAGTGTATATTTAGTTGATGTTTTTCTTAGTTCATATCTTAGATCTTATTACTGTTTTTCTTATACATTTTATTGTTGGATGTAACTGGGACCTTGTGTACATAATTTCGCTCCACCACATGTGGTGCGAATGACAATAAAGAATCCCTGACTCTCTGACTCTGAATTAGTTGTTTTTCCTTAAACACGTATACAGAAATTCTCAAAGTCATCCTTCACTTGCTATTAAATTGCCATTTTTGAGTGGGGGAAAATTGTGTTGTTTCAGCTTTAAGATGTGTGAAGTAGAATATTTAGTTTTTGTTCCCCTCATATCTCAAAGAAATGCAAGACTGATGTAAGGATATGAATGCCCGTATAAACTCCGGAGGATATGTGGCTCAGTGACCCGACAGCATAGCCCAAGTTGAACTACAAAGATGTAAATGGTAAATGGACTGTACTTGTATACTTTCTATCTGAAACACAAAGCACTTTACAACACAACCTGTGCCCTCATTTACCAATTCATACAGGCCCCTATATCTCTACAAAGCTAATTTGAATCTGTAGAGACTAATCAGTGCTTTAGATCACATTCATACACTGATGGGACACACATCAGAGGCAATGAGGGGTTCAGTGTCTTGCCCAGGGACACTTCAATATGTGACTGCTGGTTAACCACTCAGCCACAGCTGCCTCATGCACACACACCTATCCCATAAAGAATACACATAAGACTTATTTTCTAATAACTTACAATCATAAAGCTTTTCAATTTATGTTAATAAATATATTCTGAATCCTGCTGTGTATGATGGGATAATCAACAAAACAATGAAGACTGTTAATTCACACTAATTTGATCGGTAGCTCCGTCTATGCCACAGCAATTATTAAACAAACTGAGGTAAACATAAGATAGCATATCAAATATTTATAACAAATATAAAAAAGGCTTTTAAAAATAAATTAACTGATTAAAAAAAAAATCCAATTACAGTATAAAAAAATGCTTTATCTACCCACCCCAAACAGAATATAGTTCTAAGAATTTGGTTAAGTATATTTCAGGTTTAGATTTTCTTGGGATAATAGTGAACTATAGATTTTTATTAACACACATATATATATATATATATATATATATATATATATATATATATATATA